GAAGTTGGAAGGTCAGGGATCAAAAAGTCCTTCAAATGACAAAACCTGAACGGCTCTAATAAACATTAATTTTCTCTTGCGTTCCAGTTCAGATAGTCATCGACTTTCAACAATTTAGTGATTGTTCAAAGTTATAAGAAGAGTGACATGACCGTTTTTCACAATTATAAACGTTGCAGCATCCCCATGCAATTAAAATTCAGATGTTTGGCAACTGACTCATATTTATGACGGTTGCAGAGTCCTTTTGCAACCTTCTGACAAGCAAAGTCAGATTCACCTAACAACCTAAACTGCAGTGATTCACTTAACAACTGTGGCAAGAAAAGTCGTAAAATGGGGGCAAAACTGACTTCACATTTGTCTCACTGAGCAGCAGAAATTTTGGGCTCAACTGTTGGTCGTAAGTCAAGGACTACCAATAGCAGCTTCCTCACCTGTCGTCCATAGAGTCTTCTCTCCTGTAAGGTGAATTTCTAATAGTGATCTCCATACGGTGATCTCTTAACTCCCCCTCTTCAAGGGAATCCCGCTTTGAGTCCCGGTCATCAGACTAGGGTGAGTTAGGAAGAAAAGATTCATTTTGGCTTTCGGGAAACTTAAACAGAGAGAGTGAAAAGGGCTGAGAATTATCATACGATTGAAAAGAACACACACGATATACATATATCTTTGTTCAAAAGAGCTGAACCCCATTATTATCAAAAAGAATCACAGATATATTTTTTTTAAAATCTTCCCGATATAAAATCCCAAACACACATTTTTGAGGCGCTTGGTATCTGCTTTTTCCTCTTGCTCCTTCCGGCGTTTCTTCTCCTGAAGAATCTCATCTAATGTTTTCACCTTCCACGATTCCTTTTCATCACCCATTTGTGTTCCAAAAGGCACTAGAAGAAAAAAAGACAAAAACACAACCATGTGGGGAACGGCATTTCAGTCCCTGGAATCTACACCCAGAGAAAAACGGGTTCCTGGAATCTACACCCAGAGAAAAATATTCTAATGTAGAAAAAGCCAGTTTTTGTTTTTTAAGCTGAAAAGTGTCCAATAAATAATTATAAATTTGGAAAAACTTTCTAAGAAACTCCCCCCCCCCGCCCAGCCATTATTCCAAGTAAATTAACTATCCTTAAAAGATATAAGCAAAATCCCCAGAAATTTGAAAAGGGTACGTCGAAGGCCCAATTCTTCACAGAAACTGCCCCCAGCCACATCGAAAGACGTTTCTCCACAGAAACCTGCCAAAACACCGGCCCTCCGAGGTAGGCCACTCTCCTCAGCGGCCGCCTCCCGGCCCGCCGAGCTCCCTTCCGCCCCTCTGCCGCTCTCTGAGCCGCTTCGCCGGGTTTTGAAGGCTGCGAGAAGCGGAGCGGGGCCCAGCCGGACATGAGTCTCACCTCCCCTCACGGCCCTGGCACCGCCACCGCTGCTTTAACGCGCCCCTCTCGCCGGAGGATGGAGTGCCCGGAAGCTGGGCGTCGGGCCTGCGCTTCACATCCGGCGCGATGTGATGACGTTGCACGAGGGTTCCCCCCCCCCCTTTCCTCCAAAGGCATTTCAAACTCGATTCATAGATCTTCCAAAGTTAGAGTGGCATCGCTTGCCATGCACTTCCGAGCTAGTCACCTGTCTTTTCTCCTATCATGCTTGCTCATAAACCCAAAGTAGAAAAAAAAAAACTTATATAAACTTTATTCTGAAGATTTAAAGTGTGTCTGATTTGCTCTCCCGAGGACTGTGCAATAAACCTCAGTGGAGAAATTCAGGAGTTGTCCTTAGACTACTTAGTCAAAGAAAGAATCTTACTTTAAAAAAATTTTTTAAACTACCCTCCAAAATAAAATATTTATAATCCAAAAAAATAAAAAATGAAAAATCTGGCAACTTAAAGATGTGTGAACACATTTTAAGGTTGCCAGAACCAACCCCTCACTAGAGCCTAAAAAGAATGATACAGGTATAATCCTCGACTTACGACCGTAATTGAGCACAATTTTTCTGCTAAGTGAGACAGGCGTTAAGTGAGTTTTGCCTCATTTTATGACCTTCCTTGCCATGGTTAAGTGCTGGTCAGAAGGTCTCAAAAGGGGATCAGGTGACTCCCCAGGCAACTGTCATAAATATGAGTTAGTTTCTGTGTCCAAATGTTGATACAGCAACGGTCATAGGTGTAAAAAAAAAAAATCATAAATCACCTTTTTCCATGCCATTGTGACTTCAATGGTCACTAAATGAATTGTTGAATGTCAAGGACTGCCTACAACCAAACAGTCAAAAAAGCAGTTTTTCCCCCTTCAAAAGTGGGCAGCAAGCTGGAAATATGGTGTGTTTTCAAATGGCTTTCTGAGCAAAAAAGGCCATCAGAGCCTCCGTTTTAATTTCGACAGGCCGCATATCCAGAGTGGTTGACTCATCTGCTCTGTACCTTCATTCTCATCCTTGCTATTACTCATCTCTTCCCACCTATGACTATAACCGTGTGGCTTGTATCTCTACAATTTATATTGTTTTATTTGTTCCCTAGTATGATTTGATTGCTTATTAGTATCCCATGACTATTCCTAAGTGTTGTATCTTATGATTCTTGATGAATGTATTTGTTTTTATGGACACTGAGAGCATTTGCACCAAAGAAAAATTCCTTGTGTGTCCAATCACACTTGGCCAATAAAGAATTCTATTCTATT